AAAAAAAAATAAAATTCATCAACTATAAAAAAAATTTATTTTAATAAAAAATAGTTTTTTTAACAATTCTTCCGTTGCCAAAAAAAAAAAAAATCATTTTATTATTTAAATATTCATTTGTAATAAAAATAAAAAATATTCCAAAAAAACATTTCCAATCTCCCCCCCCCCTTTTTCCATTCCCACTCGGGTTCTCCTACCCCAAACCCAAAATCCCCAATGTCAAAAATCCCTAATCCCTTCCCCCTTTTCCATTCCCGCTGGTTTTTCCCCCCTCAACCAAAAATCCCCAAAAAAAACCCTAATATGCACACAGCTCTCTCATTCCTCTCATTTCATCTCATCTCATCAGTCTCTTTCTCACACTCATTTTCATCTGCACAGATCGACTCCACACCGATCAAACTCGCAAGATCGACTCCTCACCGATCGACCTCACTCTCTCATTGCACCGATCGATCTCATAGGTAAGCTTCTCTCTCTCTCTCTCTCATCTCATCAGTCTCTCTCTCACTTCATCTCAAGATACATCGAAGAAGAAGAAGCTAGCACAGCAATGGTACAGAAGAAGGGAGCAAGTAGGGTTTCTGAAGATGCAGAAGAAGAGTTGGCTCGAGCACCCTTACAGGCCGTCCTCTTGGCCGATAGCTTCGCCCAGAAGTTCCGCCCCATCACCCTCGAACGCCCCCAAAGTAATCTCTCTCTCCCTCTCTACATATACATATATATATGCATGTATGTATATCTGTATATGCAGAGTTATGTTGAACTATTACTATACCATTGTGATTGTGATTGTAATTTTTGGATAGTGATGTTGAGCTCTGATTTAATCAATTTTCTTTTAGGTCTTTTAATGATGTTGAGCTCTGATTGTAAATTTATGTGTGGCAAATTTATTCAAGAATTTTAAGCTATTTATTTTCATGGTGGCGCTCATATTATGGTGAAATTTCACTTATTTTTACTCTAGTTTTGGAAAATTATACTACCTTATTCCTTCTGATATTTTTACCAATTTTGTTTTCTCGTTTAATTTTTTAAATTTTGTTTCTTCCTTCCTTACAAATGTAGATATTTTGGTTCCTTGTATCAGTGTGCTTATCCCAAAAAAAAAAAAAAGAGAATAAAATCAAGGATGCATACTTGACTTTTTTGAATATTGCAATTCATGTTTAAAAACTTTTATCATTTTGTGGCGACAATTATTGCATTACTTGACTGTTTTTCCGTGTTGAAGGTACCATTTGCATTTGTGGACACCCCTATGGTTGATTAGATTGACATGTGGTATTAACAATGCATTCTTTTGGACTTGTTTATTCCTGTTGATGGTAATCTTTCTTATAATGCCAATTCTTCATTGACATACAATTTTTGCCATTGAAGGTACTATTACCATTGGTCAACATCCCTATGATTGATTACACCTTAGCATGGCTTGAATCAGCTGGTGTTGAAGAAGTTTTTGTCTTTTGCTGTGCTCATTCCAGGCAAGTGATTGATTATTTAAATAATTCCAAGTGGTTCGGTCAACCAAACTTTACGATCAAGACAATAGAATCTCACAATTCTGTTAGTGCTGGAGATGCATTGCGTTTGATTTATGAGCAGAATGTGGTATGTCAAGATCTCTCCTCGTAGTTATTCATTTTCATTTTTTAGTTCTTTTGGGGCATTCCATCAGTAGTTTTGGTTTAAAAATTCTATCAGAAAAGTGAACATAGTTTCTTGTTTCTTTTTTAGGGGTTTTAATGTTCTAGATGTGACATTACAAATGTTACTTATCAAAGGGGGGGGGGGGGAACCCTTTTTCCAATTGAGACAGAGAATTTGGTCTCTCTTCTCAAAAATCAAAATAAAATTAAAAAAACCCTTTGTCCAAATGTTACTTCTCAAAAGGAATTTTTGAAGGCAATCTTCTTGGAGTTTTACGGTGTGTTTGGTTTGGTTTTGGTAGATAAATTTTTAAAAAAGATTTTGGGGAGAGTTTAGAATTTTTTTTGATTTGTTTGGTTGTATATTTTGGAAATAGTTTTGGAGTATGGGAGTTTGGGATGATTTGATGTTTTGTTCTCAAAAGCAAACTAAACAAGGCCTTAATGTTTGGATTTTCTTTTTTCTCTTTTCTTTTTTTTAAAAAATTGAATAATGATTGCCAAGAGAAAAGGAAGTGAAATAATGATCCTATGTCGGATAATTGTAATTGCCTGAGAGATGGTAGAAATAACTTTGCGGGAATGCATATGTGTGGGATGGCGTAATTCTGATGAAACATCACTTGTTGGAATTCGAAAAATTCTCCTTCAGGTTTATGACTTTGCACCCCCTTAAATTGAGAATATGCTGGGACCTCGACATTGTTAATGGCTGATGAATGAGATTGACAAAGAAGGTAATGTCACCGTTTTGATATTTTAATACATTTGTGCCTTCAGTGAGGCCTTTTATTTTGCTAGATGTTGGGGGTCACATGGTTGTATACTTCCTTAGTCAAAGGAGTTTTCTTATATAGAGGATGATTTTGGATGAATTTTTTCTTTCGATGCACTCTTTTTTTTCTTCCCGTGTTTTTCTTATGGTCAATTTGTATAGCCTTCATGAAGTAGAAAAACTATAAATATTTAGGTGTTGTCTTTTTTGTTGGATTTTCTTATTGAAGTCTTTGCCTAGAGTCCTATATATTTGTTTCTTCAAAATGAATCTGTAGTTTTGTGATGATTTTGGATGTGATACACTGATTAAGGCAGCTTTCTTACATAAGAGTGTTTGTCTCTTGTAAACATCCTCTTCTTCTTCATTTTTGTTTATTTATTTAACATGTTATTTAACATGTTTATTCTTGTAGACATCCTCTTCTTCTTAACATGCATAAGACAGCTTTATTCTTGAAAATATGTTGACAGATCAAAAAAAAAAAAATCTGACCAGCTACTGTAATTCGTTTTCCAATTTAATATGAGGTGACCTGTCACTCATAATCATCGATTGTCTTCTCCCTTCAATTTTTTGATGCCAAGTAATTTGATTAATTTAAAAAAGGCCTAATCATTATGAACTTTTTGTTTTCTGAACAAGATAATATGCATGTGTGAACCAAAAGATCTTTACTTGATTTTTAGAATACGAGTGTTGAAACTGTTGGCAAGTTACACCAGTTTTTTCAATTTCTGGTTGATGTGATTTTCTCTGTGAGTATGCAGCCGAAGGACTGGTTTTTCGTAATAGTGTTTACTGGATACGTTTTGATGAAGAATTTTCTGAGAAGGTAATTTTTTTTTGCCTCATACATGTAGATCTTTGGGGTATTAGTCATTATCATTTTCATTTTACCATTGGAGACACTATCTGACAATTAGGGATTATTTCTGTTTTTGGGTTCAGAAATTTAAATCTTCAAGCCCCTTTGGTATAAAGTACAAGTTCCACCTTGAGGTAACCATTCATTTCTCTGATTTCTGTGTCTGTGTGGCATGTGTATGATATCATTAAAATTGATAATAATATAACGAATTTGGTAATGAATTCGAGTAATAAAAAACCTATTTATTTGTTTGTTTGTCCGTTAAAAAACCTATTTATTCTCCATCCCAATACTGCCTGGGCCAACCCATTTTGATTTATGAAACACCAAATTGCACATTAAAATCCAATTATGAAAGCAATTTAGGTAACTGTCTGTTCACATATATGCAATTCCAGACCCAATTTAGGTAACTGTCTATCCCTTCTGTCTACTTAAAAGTGGTCATCTCTTCTTTTAAACACGGAAATGGTGGTGTGAAAAAGCCTATATAACATAGAAGGCAAAAGTAATTTTGTGTTGGTTCTAGGTAGTCTTGCAGGGATAACTGTGGTTCTATCATTTCATATATTCCCTATCAAAATTTTCTTATATAACTCATGTCTTTGCTATCAATTTTTATTAGCCACCATTTCAGTTACTCTTAGAGGTCAATTCTTTAATTAACCTTTACATAAACTAGCATCGACATTAATTACGTAACCCAGTGGAAATTTGTGAAATAAGCTGCATGACGCTTGAGTGCGTAAAACATGACTGTAGGAATGAGATATTGTTAAATATTGGAACCCAAAGGCAATGCATACTGAGCCCTTGCCCTTTTTTCAAGTTTTATGTACCTGGTAGTTAACAGTAGAGCCATAATTGTGTCCACACTGAAACCTTTTCTATGGAACTGATTTGGTGCTTATGCATTTTTCAACAGACTTGATGTTGGTTTTTCCGGGAAAAGCACTGCTGTTGTTTCTACTGGCTGTTCATCTAAAAGGTTTTTGTCTTCCTTCTTTAGAGGATGGGTCATGGGCGTTATATCTCAGTTAGAGGATGGCCATTTCTACTTGGAAGACGTCACTGGAGCAGTTGAAATCAATTTGTCTAATGCAATATCCTCTACATGTTTATATTTTTCCCTTTCGAAAGACTTATTGTTTGTTTTGAATGCTTGGATTTGGGCTGCCCTATAATCTCCAAAAGCGAAAGTTCTCATTGTAGGCCTTTTTAAATAATGGAAAATAATGGTGAATTTTAGATTTTATTTTATTATTTTATTTTTTTTAGGATTTGGGTGAATTTTATAATTTAAAATGCTTTTATGAACATGTACAGTTTAATTGTTCTTTGTAAAATATTGAATTTGATGGTTTGATCAATTTTTATTTTTGTTTTCTATTATGATGTTTTTGTGAATGGAATGTAAATAATCAGCTCTTAGAGAGTGAGAGACGGCACCACCGTCGGAAAAAATAGAAAATTTTAATATTTTTATTAATTTTGTTATAGGTTTTACTTTTTGCGACGACATTATACTGTCACAAAAAATAGAAATTTTATTATTTAAAATAAAAATTTTATTATTTTTTAATATTTTTTGCGACGGCATTACACTGTCACAAAAAATAGAAAATTTCATATTTTTTATTCTTTCTGCGACGGCACCACATCGTCGCAAAAAATAGTGTTTTTTTTTTAAAAAAAAAAGACTATTAACGACGGTATTTTTTGCCGTCTCAAATAACATTTTTAGCGCGGTAAAATAGGGCCGTCGCAAAAAAGTCAAGAAATTTCAAATTATTAGCGACTGCACGGTACCGTCGCAAAAAGGTAAAAAATGCCGTCGCAAAACATTAACGACGGCACTTACCGTCGCAAAAACTCTTTTGCAACCCCTGCAGTTGCGACCCCCTCTTGCCGTCGCAAAAAGTCATTTTGCCGTCGCAAAAAGTATTAGCGACGGCATTAGAAGTATTAGCGACGGTATTTTACCGTCGCAAAAAGTCAATTTTTTTGTAGTGTATAGCTCATAGAGCACAACATTTTAGAGATGATGGGCAATTACTAAACTTTGCAATTGAATGTTCTCGAGCAGGAGAGAGAAAAAAGAAATCAGAAGTCAACCCTCTGAAGCCATCTTTGTCCACAAAAATTGGTTGCACAGTAAGGGTACGAAGTAGTGTACAAAAGGATGGCAGATATAAACTAACCACAGTTAACCTTAAGCATAATCATGATTTGATTCCCACCGACTCATGTCATTTTGCAATAAATAAGAAAATTCTTACTCCTGTAAAGAGAAGATTAGAAATTAATGATCAAGTAGGGATTGGGGTGTCTAGGAACTTTCATTCAATATTTGTTGAAGCAGGGGGGTACGAGATCATTAACATTTGATGAGCGAGATGCAAGAAATTACATTGAGAGAGCTAGAAGATTGAGGGGGAAGGTGATGCCCAATCACTTCAAAGTTATTTTATGAGGATTCAAGCACATAGTGAGAGATTCTTTTATGTGATTGATGTTGATGAGGAGTTTTACATTAGAAACTTGTTTTGGGCTAATGCAAGAAGTCGGACGACTTATGAAGCATTTGAAGATATCGTTTCATTTGACACAACTTATTTGACGAACAAATATGACATGCTATTTGCTCCATTTGTCGGAGTTAATCACCATGGACAGTCCATTTTGCTTGGTTGTGGATTGTTATCTAGTGAAGGCACTAACACATTTGTTCGGCTATTCAAGTCGTGGTTAAGTTGCATATCAAATCATCCGCCAAAAGCTATCATAATTGATTAGTGTAGAGCTATGCAAAATGCTATAAAAATTGTCTTTCCACAAGCTCAACATCAATGGTGCTTATGGCATATCATGAAGAAAATTTCGGAGAAGTTGAAAGGATATGCTCAGTATGAAGCCATAAAGTTGGGGCTATGCAAAATGCAGTTTATGACTGTTTGACAAGAGCTGAATTTGAGAGTAAATAAGAAGAGATGCTTGCAACATTCAATCTTTATGATGATGAGTGGTTGGGGGTACTATATGATGAGCGGCATCGATGGGTACTTGTCTATGTTAAAGACATTTTTTGGGCTGGCATGTCAACTACACAACGAAGTGAAGGTATGAATGCGTTTTTTGATGGATATGTAAATCCAAAGACTACATTGAAGCATTTCGTTGAACAATATGACAATGCCTTGAGAAATAAGGTAGAGAAAGAGAAGACAGTAGACTTCAAGTCACGACACAAATTGTTTGATTGCCTAACTATATATGGTTTTGAGAAGCAATTTCAGCAAGCCTACACCATTGCAAAATTCAAAGAAATTCAAGGAGAGTTGAAGAGATTAGTTTACTGTCAACCGTTGTTTGTGCAAGAGGAGGGATCAATTTCTACATATAATGTCCAAGAAGCGATGGCAGTTTGTGAGAAGATGAAGCATGTGGACTTTGTTGTCTATTTTAATTCAATTGAATTTGAAGTTCAATGCATGTGTCGGTTGTTTGAGTTTAGAGGCATTATGTGTGCTCATTTACTCGATGTGCTTGTCAGAAGATGCATAAATGAGATGCCAAGTAAATGTATTTTTCCCCGGTGGAGAAAAGATGTGGATAGAGAATACGCATGCATCAAAACCACATACACTGGCTTTGGGAATGATTTCAATGCAAGTAGCTATGAGAGGATGAACAAAAAATTGATTGCCATTGTACAACTTGCTGGTAACTCTAAAGGCAAAACTAAAATTATAGACCTTGGGTTGGATGAAATCAAGGAAAGGGTCATGAAAGAAGAATCCGGTGATGGGAGTAATTTGCCATGATCCAAAAAAATTCGATTCGCACCGGTTCTACATAAGGAGCTACTAGTAGGAAAATGATTAGTCCTTTAGTTGCTCGGCAAAGAGGCCGTCCAGTTATCAAACGAAAGGTTGCCAAAGTAGATCAAATTGTGAATCGGTTTAAGGCAACAACAAAAAAACAAACAAAAGCAAAGGTAAATTGTGTATTCAACATTTTTTTTTTACAAAGTGCATTCAAGTATGTAAAAGCAATTCATAAATTTCAATATTTAATTATTCTTAAAAAAATACAAGCTGCTAAGTTGCTTCGATTTGAAGCTCAAGCTCAAGCTCAATCTAAAGCTACTACATATACACCGTATTATCTTTATATGGTTGGCACGTACAATAGTATGTATGTACCAGTACGTGTTCGAAAGAGGACTTCATGTACTGTTAACATGTACTTTTAATTGAAAGAGGACTTCATGTACGTGTTTGAAAGAGGACTTCATGTACTTTTACAAAGTGTATTCTTCTAACATGTACTTTTAATTGAATTATCACAGGTGGCCCATGGTATTGGAGGCACATCTCTTACTCCATCGGATTTCATAAGTGGCACACAGGGAAGTTTGATGAGTGCTCCAACTCAGATTTATGGTTCTGTATCTCTAACCCCATCGGTTTCTAATGCATGCACACCGGGAAGCTTGGATATTACAGACATGTTTGACTAGTTTCTATGTATTCCAACAGTTTGTTTTTGAGAATGCAAATTATTTTGTCTATTAATTTGAGTTTGAAACTTTGTTTTTGAGATTGTAGCTTATGTTACAACTTTGTTATTGAGATTCAGCATGTGGATTTGTAAACACATGTTGTGTACTAATTATTAATGAAGTTATGTTATTATTATTATTTGTTATGTAATGAAGATGTTGCAATATTTATTAATGAACAATGTTTATTTAACAGTTCTTTGTATTGAACAATGTTTATTGAACAGTTTCCATGTATTCAACCATGTGTATTCAATAGTTTCCCTGCAATGAATAATGTATATTTAATAGTTTCTTTGCATTCAACAATGTATATTCAATGATTTCCCTGTATTCAACCATGTATATTCAATGGTTTCCTTGTATTCAACAATGTATATTCAATGGTTTCCCCGTATTCAACAATGTATATTCAATAGTTTCCCTGTATTCAACAACGTATATTCAATAATTTCCTTGTATTCAACAATGTCTATTCAATGAGTATTAAAGAAAGTGTACAAGTTTGAACAAGTCATTTTCCATTCCACTCACCACAAAAGAGGTACAATAATTAGGTTTCAATACACAACAAAACATAACTTCCTCTAAAACATCACAGTATTATACAAAAGTATTCAGTCTACTTGAACTTGTACATTGACATCTACTTCTACTTCTAACTTACATAACGGTATATCTATGTTATTACATCTTCATAAGTGTTAAGGTACAAATTACAAGCAACACGGACAATATATATATATATATATCAGCTTTTGCATCTTTGCACTCTGAACTCGAAGTTGTTCCGTCATCTCTCTTTGTTGTTCCGTCATAGCTCTAAGTTGTTCGGTCATAACTTGTTCGCCGACAATTGGCACTTCTTCTCTTGGCATTTGATGACGACCTCCATATTCTGAATTCATAGGCAAACACCATCCAACAAAACCACAATCATTACAAGAGTAGAATAACTTGTTCTTGTTTCGACCAGTCTCAGAAATTCGAATGATGGCCTTTTTATTACATCTACGACAATTTCTGTTGATGTATGTCAACCGATCTGAGCTACTGCCATTGACACTTGAACTTGACATCTCCAAAAACGAACAAATAGCAAGTTATGAAGGTTAATAAACTATTGTAGTAAGTTAAGTAAAGTTTATAAGTTAAGTTAACAAGTTAAGTTAATAAGCAACACTGGTTTGATGTTAAAGTCAAAAAGGGACAAATAACAACACTAGATTGATGTTAAGTTAATAAGTTAAATTACTCTTGTTGGTTGCATTTATTTGAATTGAAAGAACTGGTCAAAATATGCATCAATAATATACATATCTAAAACCAGTGTTTGTGGTTTGTTAAGTTACTCTTGTTAGTTAAGGTACACTGCTTAACTAACCAATTAAGTTACACTGCTTAACTAATAATATACATATCTGAAACCAGTTCTTCCAATTCAAATAATAAGTTACACTGCTTAACTAACCAGTTAAGTTAAGTTACTGCATCAATAATATACATAGCTGAAACCAATTCTTCCAATTCAAATAATATACATATCAAAATGTGCATCAATAATATACATATCTGAAACCAAGTAAGTTACTCTTGTTAGTTAAGTTACACTGCTTTTGAGTTTTTATACATATATGAAACCAGTGTTTGTGGTTTGTGAAAAACCCAATTCAAAATGTGCATCAATTTAGTGTCAAAATGTGAGTCCTGAGAGCAATCCCAAGATGTCCGACATCCCTCCAAAGCCTTCTCATTAGCAAATGGCACCTGTAGACACCCCATTTTTGACCGTCCTCAAGACTTGGACGTCATCGTTTGAACACTCGATGATCATCCATGCTCGTGTTCGTTTTGAGTTCTCGAAAGTCTCGGCTACGCGCCTTGCCTCAAGATCTCTCAACTTGTCTATTTTGTGCTTGGTTGTGAACCAAACATTTGTGTTTTTGCTTCTAAGGGAAGATGGTGGCTTTTTTGCCATGCTCTCAACCCACCAGCCAAGGCTTGAGGCCACCGGCCCTGTTTTCTTTCCATCGGCCAAGTGTGTTGGCCGATCGGCACTGTTTTTGGCCGGCCGGCCATTATGTTGGTCGATCAGCCATTTTTTCTAGCCGAACCCTATTTATCTGCTTTATACAGATATTTTGTGCTAGCTGGCACAGCTGGCATCCACAATTAACCCCCTCCATATACGTGTATGGAGGGATTTGCCCTTTGCTTAGCTTCTCCAAGAGGCTTTGCAAATTGGATTTCTATAAGAGGGGAGGCCCTCCTCCCTTCTTAGAGGTTCTGGATTTTAGGGTTAGAATAGTTGTATCTCTCTATATGTCCTTATTTTCACACTTTTGTGTGTGTTTTTGAGACCTAAAGTGTGATTTTGTCTTACTATTGCACAAAAACACCTAGCAATACACCTTTTGTTTGTTACTGAGGTACTAAGGAGTTGGTTTTGGTGTTCTTGGGTGGGTTTGAACTCAGAAAACCTGTTGGAGCTTTGTTCTTGAAGAGGTTCTATAAGGGTGAGTTCCTTGCTTTAGATACCCCATTTTTGCTTAAGCTTTTAGCCTTTCTTGCTTATTGTTTTAAGCTTAGATTATAACTGATAAAAGTTCTGATTTTTAGTGCTTAAGATCTTTGTTTAAGGTCATTTTGGTGTTTGGGTTTGTCCCCCCCTCCCCTCTTAGGCCTTGTTTGGCCTTGTTCTTGTGCTTTATTTTTAAGCTTTGAGATCAGCTTGTTTATGCCTTCTCACCACTGAAATCCCTCTGGATTTCAGTGGTAGGGATGGTGTTTTAAGGTCTCAAATAGGAGAGGGTCATCCCCTCTCCTTGTTGTCTTGAATGCTTGCATAAATGGCTTATGTTGGTGGCTTGTATGCTTAGCTTGTTTTAGCTTCATTTCGGTATATATTAGGCTTTGTTTTGCCATGATATAGCACTGTTTTGACTTGGTTTAGACATATCATGCATGTTTTGTATACTTGTCTTGTAAACCCATGATTTGCCTTAGCATGTACCTACCATTTAGAATACTATGCTTGCATGTTTTGGCCTACCTCCATGAAGCTTTTAGCCATGTTGTGACATGCTTAAGCTCTGATTTTGGTTTTCTTGGTCATGCTTGCATTGTTTTGTATAACTACCATGTAATCTAGCTTGTTAGCTTTGGGTGCTCAAGTCATTAGCATGCTCTATTTCGACCATTTCAGTGGTTTGGCATCACTTGTTACGCTATTTCAGTCCATATAATATGCTCATATGCTTACACTTGTGACTTCTTTAATGCTTTAAAGAGTTGATATGTTATGCCTCATGAATATGCCATCATGTATGCCACCATGCTTAGGCATTTGGGATGCCATCTAAGTGGGTTTTTGGGCTCATTTTGGCATGCCATATCTCTGTTTCCATTGACTTAAAACATGCCATGTTTGGTTGTCTTAGGTATAATGTAACACCTCTTAGGTAGTCTTGCATGTCTCATGTTTTTTGCCCCTTTATTTTTAGCTTGTTTTGGCTTTGGTCATTGCATGTTTTAGGCTCACTTTGCCATGCTTTAGGACTGTTTTGGGTTATGCTTGCCATATTCCCTTTGTTTTGTGTAGCTTTGGTTCAAGTCCCTTCACTAGTCCTCGGCTTTAAGCCTTGTGCATACTATGATTGTGATTTGTTTATGTAATTTGGCATCACTCCTAGCCTCACTTAAGAGCATGTAATGTTGTTACATTTGCATGTTTTTATCCCTTTTAAGCATTCTCAAAGGTTTCCCTTTGATGCTTAAGTGTTAGGCCAATTACCATGCATGTTTGTATGTAATTGTCCCTTATCCCTTAGCATATTGGCCACTGATTTGGGCCTATTTGAGAGGTGTCCATATTGGTTTAAGTCCATCCTTTGCATGTTGTTGCATGCTCGCCTTGCATGTTGTTATATACTTGGCCTATTGCATGTTGTTGCATGCTTAAGTTGTATTGCATTTGGCATGCCCTTTTGTTAAGTTGCTTTGCATGTTTGCATGCATTGTCCCTTGCATGTTGTTGCATGCTTGCCTCGCATGTTGTTACATGCTTGCCTATCTTTAAATGTTGTCACATGCCTTGCATGTTTGCATACTTGTCTAGGTTGTATTGCATTTGGCATGCTTGTTACCTTTAGCCTTGTATGGCATGATCATTAACATGCTCATGTTACACTAGTTTTGCTTGCATGTTTACATCCCTTGCCTCTTGATAAACCATGATAGAGGTTGCGGTCTTTTATGTGTTTTATGTGCATTTCATTTGACATTAAAATGCACACTTGGCTCCTTTGGCCATCATGCATTGAAATGCATGATTGGTGGCCCGAGAGTCAAGAACCATACTCCTTTGAGTCTTAAACATGATAAGGAGGGTGGTTGTGCAAACATTTCCTTGAAAATGCATTGCCATGCTCTATCTGTCCTCTGTTGCAGCAAAAACAGCTTTCTACAGGAATAGATAGCCAGTCGGTTATCTTCAATGCCGGTCGGCTATGCATTGTTGGCCGAGAGCTTCATTCATGGTTGATGACCATTTCCACATAGCCGGTGTTCCTGTATTTTGGCCAGTGACATCCCACAGTGTTTAGGGAGTGGTTTGGAAGCATCCTTGAGACCTGCACAGTTTTCAGAGGTGCAGTGCAGTGCAGTGTAAATAGAGATAGCATGAGCATGGCGATAGATTTCCGAGCGGAGCCGAGCATGCATGCATTTGTCCCTATTTCCGAGGCCTCTTTATTGCTTTCATAGCTTAATTAATTTGTTTAATTAGTTAAGTGTTGTGTAATAATTAATTAGCTTGTTAGTTAGTTAATTATGTAATTTATATTATTCTTTCGATTCCTCCGTCGAGAGGGCGAATTTTGTAATAAGTGTACGTGGGTGTGTGAATGTCTTCCAATCTCACGTCTTTCTCCCTTTTACTTAACTGCTTACAATGGTTAGTTCTAAGTCATATTTTGATTAGCATCCTTACGCTCGCATGTTTGCATCCATTCATTTGCATCATACTAACCGCATAGTATTTCAATTCCACCTTGAATACACGTGTATCGAGTTGTCGCATCTCATATGCCATTTTAGATTAGTCGAGCCTATTTCTAGTTACATTTTGCATGTGTTGCATTAAGCATCTTAACATAGCTAGGATCATGCATTGATTACTAACTAGCTATTGTTTTGGCTCAGAGTACTAGGTATTTAACCTATCAATCCCGCTACAGACCCCCAGCAGAAGTTGACCCCCAGCAACCCCTAGTGACGTGGCAGATGAGGTGGCAGCTGATGTGGAGTATGGGTCTATACGTTGCTGTGCTGTGAGGAAAAAAAAAAAAAAACAAAAGATATAGCGGGAACCTCCCAAACCTGTCTCCGCCATCTTCCTTTGTCTGTCCTTACCTGTCGCCGCCATCCTCCTCTTCCACCGTAACTCTCTACCGTCGACGACGACCATAGCTCGCCGGGAACTTTGGTTGTCCTCTGTCTGTATCTGGCTGTCCTCTTTCTGTCGCTCTGTATCTTCGGCTGTATCTCTGTCCGTCACTCTCATCAATCTTCGGCTGCGTGTCTATGTCTCCCTCGTCTGTCTGCAGCTTCGTTGTTGCTGTCTATCTTCGACTGTGTCTCTGTCTCGCACGTAACCTGGATCGGTGGTTTATGAGGTAAAAAATCAATTACATTAACTTCCTATAAAAAATCAGTTTCATATAAAATTAATAAACAAATTTGAAATTTAAATAGGGCCTTCACATATGACTAATCTGAAATTTGAATATATGAAGTTCACATATGGCCTTCACATATGCTAATCCTCATCTATGGAGTTTGTACATATGGAGTTTGTATATATTCTGATATGGAGTTTAAAATGAGTTTGTATATATATATTCTCACTTGCTCTCTATATATATATATGAATTCAAACTAGATTCTCTCCACATTACTGTAATTGTTTCATTGATTAGTTTCTAATTACATTACAGATAGAGAAACAAGTTCAGTTGAGTTGAATTTGAGAGCTTTGAGTTTTTATACATATCTGAAACCAGTGTTTTTGGTTTGTGAAAAACCCAATTCAAAATGTGCATCAATTTAGTGTCAAAATGTGAGTCCTGAGAGCAATCCCAAGATGTCAGACATCCCTCCAAAGCCTTCTCAGTAGCAAATGGCACCAACTTCTCAGGAACCCATTAATCAAACATTAGGTGCACATGGCTAATTTTGTTAACACAGATATATATATATATATACGCAGATATACATAGAGAGAGTCGGGGCTTCACAAATAGATATATATACAGATAGATAGATATGTATATATATAGGCAGATATACCTGTCGGATGAGAAGGAAAGAGACACAGAGAGAGTCGGTGCTTCAACACAGAGACAGTCGGAAAATTTACGTCTTAATCGTCCTTCGTCGGATGAGAGGGAAAAATAGACAGAGAGATTCGCGAGTGAAGGGAACGAGCTGTCGGCGTCGGAGTGAAGGGAACGAGTTGTCACCGGCGTCGGAGTGGGGGTCACTAGCTGTTACCGTCTAGCCGTCTCAATCGTTGGAGTGAAGAGAGATATGTGTTTGAGGAGGGGGGGGAGATTATTTTGAAATGTGAATGTTTGGGTCTTATAGTCACGTGACTATCATGTGACTTGCCACATCAAGTGGGGTTCATGGGGGTCGGAAGGAACTAGGGGTCGGAAGTATTTTTGTTTTTTTTTTTTTACATTTTTCAATTCATTAGAGCTTTTAAAGGTATATTTTTTAGTGTCTCCATCACTTCTGTATCTAATTTCAAAGGTTGGATGAGATGTCTATCTGGATAGAATTAAATGTATTGGCGGCTAAAAAATAAAAAATAAAAAATAAAAAAACTATTCTTGACAGAAGTAACTTTTGAAGTTTGACTATTTCCAAGAATGATGCAATTTACTTTTTGGTCATCAACTGAAATTTATAAGTTGATTGTTGAATTGTTTTCATAAATAGTAACGCGTTCACAAATATGACATACTTGCTGTTATTACATGAAAGTAAACTTAAATTTCGGTGCGATGCAAGAAGGGTGAGAAATTGTTTCTACGTCAAAACTTTGACATAATTGTGATGAGTTAGAGCAATGAGAGTGTGAAATTGTGTCCAAAATCGAAACTTTGACAAAAATTGAGATGAGTGGGATTTGAGAAAACCGTCTACTTCTTGCGCGAATAGTATGTAAGTGGCATTAACATTTTGTTTTTGCAGAATGAGTGGGATTAACACTTGGATGCTAGAGAAACATATTTGTGGGAAAATATGTCGCTCAAAACTTGTTTGGGATTTGAATTTATTTATTTATTTATTATTGAGTAAGTTATATTGACATTCCTGAGGTTTATGTTTATTACAGTTCTCTCTTCACATTTGAGAAATTACACTGACTCCCTTGTCAGTGTAATTATTTGACGGTATTAACTTTTAAGTTAAAATGACATATTTACGCTTAACCTTTACATATACTTTAAGGCCATGTTTGTTTGGATGGACATGAGATTGGGATTGGACTAATAGTCCAATAAAATTATTAATTCGATGTTTGGTTAAACAATTAAAGTACGGACTAATTATTTTAAACTTAACTATTAATTAAGATAGAATACATAATCCAACAAATTCGTAGTCCTAGGACTATTAGTCATGGGAATGCTAATTCAGTCCGCCCAAACAAACATGGCCTAAAGGGTAAATTACATTGACACTCCCTGAGGTTTCAATTTAAAATGGATCCCCCCTGACATTTAAAAAAACAAAACTTATTTAATAAAAATAAATATGAAAAAATATATTTAATTTGTAAAAAATTATTTCTAACCACTCGAAAAATAAAAATTATATAAAAATGATAATTTTTTTTTATTTTTTAACCAAATTAATTTTTAATTTTTTTAAAAAAATTCTAAAAATCAAACCATACATAGCCTAAGAATCTTTTGATAAGTAATTTCTTACGTTAGTAACTTATTTAATTATTTGTTAATTTTACGACATTTTTACCATCTAAGACCTGTTTGGTAACTATTTCGTTTTCAGTTTTCAATTTATATTTACAATTTTTTTTTAAAAAAATGACATAAAAACTTGTTTGATAATTTTTTTTTTGTTTATAAATGGTTGTCTCAGTTTGTAAATTTGAAGAAAAAATGTAAATTCAAAAAATGAGTTTACGTTGGTTTTTAAGCAGAGATTTTAAATTTTGACTAACAAAATTTTTTTTCAATTAATTTTTTTTTTCAATTAAATTTTTTTTCAGCTAATACTAATCGAGAGGGCAATTGGTAATGCTACTTTAAACCTTGACGAGGGGATTGTAATTTTTTAAATATGAGGGATGTCAATGTCATTTATCCAGTGAGGACAAAATTGATATTTAAAAAAATTAAATTACTAACATCAGCAAAATTTGTTAATTGACTTAACAATCAACTAACTAAGAGAACAATCTGTAATAAAATTTTAACTCTCAAAAAAGAGAATATAACTTTTAAAAAATGAAGAAAAAAATTATAATAAACATAAACTTCAGGAAATGTCAACGTAATTTACTCATAAAAAAAACTATTCTTGTCAAGTTTGACTATTTCCAAGAATGATGCAATTTACTTTTTGGTCATCAACTGAAATTCATAAGTTGATTGTTTTCATAAATAGTAACACGTTCACAAATAAGACATACTTCCTGTTATTACGAGAAAGTAAACTTAAATTTCGGTGCCATGCAAGAAGGGTGAGAACTTGTTTCTAAGTCAAAACTTTGACATAATTGTGATGAGTTAGAGCAATCAGGGTGTGAAATTGTTTCCAAAATCAAAACTTTGACAAATATTGAGATGAGTTAATTTACCCACGGGGCGGCACATTGGATAGCTCGAGCTAGATTAGGAGGGTCTCTTCCTGAAAATTTGGTGGCTAGTCCCCCTTGTTGTCTCGTTCCTCACTTGACTTCTTTCAATATATACTGTTGTTCCGATCAAAAAAAATAAATAAAAATTTACCCATCATAAGTTAAACAATTATTTATAAATATCTTTTATGAATTCGTTTAATTCAATTGACCACTCATCTTTTAATTGTGAGATTAGAGCGTCTCCAACACTTATTCTTTTCTTTTATCAAATTTAAATTTGATAAAAACAAATTAGTTTTGGTACTCCAAAGTTAACGTCAAACTAATATCAAATTGAGAATTTTTTAAACTTTTCATCAAATTAAATATGTCTGGAGCCTTTCATTAAATTGATATAGTAGCTGTTGGGACCATACACAGAATGACTGACCAATTGTCCTCCCAGACAACTTTTTCCTTGCTTCAAACTTCTAGTAAATTTATACTAACCGGTTGATCGGCTAAACATCCTCCCAATGGTTTGATAAAAAATGAAAATTTTCTATTGGAATACTGAATATATGAAGTTTTTACTCAAATTTGATGGGGAAAAAAAAAGTAAACATTAGAGATACTCTTAGAGTCAATTTTTGTCAAAAATAAAGATTAATTATTTTTCCTTTATTAATTTATTTAGGTTATATCATCTCTTTATTTTTCTACACATCTTTTCAAAATAAATAAAAAAATTAACTTATAATTCATATTTAAAACAATCCTTTAAGGTTTTTTATTTCTCTATTTTAGGACTCTTTCTTATAAACAATCTCTCTTTCTTTTGCCACTCTTTTTCTCTATCTCTGTCTCTTTGTTTAGGAATTATAGAGGAAAAAGTATGATGACAGGGAGGCTAAAAAGGTGGGAGCAGAAGTGAGAATGCAATAGAGATAGGAATGAGGGGGCGAGAGAGGCTAGAGATGACTCAGAGATGGGGTGACGGAGGGTAAAAGAGGTTAGGAATGGACTGTTAAGGAGTCGAGAATGGACAAAAGATGGTGTAGGTGGGAAGTAAGAGATAGCACCAACTAAGATTGAAATTTCGAAGGATCAGGAATGAAAAATACTAATAAGCTTAATGTAAGTATTTAAAAAAAAAAAACAAAAGTGTTAGAGGCATAGTGGCCATGAAAAATACTAATAAGATTAATGTAAATTTTAAAAAAAAAAAAAAAAAAAATAGGGGATTTGGGGTGGCTCTTGTGTTAGAGGCATAGTGGCCATTGTTATACAGTTAAATAAGTCCATTTTGAGATTTATTTTGATAATTCAAATCGTTCACATTTTAGATGACATTAAGTGAACATATTTGCAAAACATTAAGTTAATCAGATACCGTTAATTCTTTTATCCACTTATATTTGTATCTATAAAAATAAATAACAATTACGATTTAAATTGAGAGGGTAATTTTTGGGAAAATTGGGCCGAGCTTCGAGTTGGGTTTTGAGGCCCAAAACGCAGAGGACTAGGTAAAAAGGCCGTACAGAATACTCCGGCCTAGAGGGTAAGGTTACTCCGGCCTTGGGGAGACAAAGTTACTTCGGCCCAAGGAGGTGAGTTTATTCCGGCTCAAGAAGAGATAGTTGCTTCGGCCCAAGGAAGAGTAAGGCTACTCCGGTCCAGAGACAACTCGGAGTAGGGCCGGTCTTAGAGTTAGTCCGGTTGCAGTATGTTCTGGGAGGACCGGTTTCAGAATTAGTCCGGTCGTGACACAATCTGGTTAGGTCGGTCAAAACTTGTTACTTGGAAGTTTGATCTAAGCACACCAAGGTTGAACAGGGGCAGCCGAAGTAATGAGTTAAAGGAGAAGACCGAGCTAAGGATAGTTCGGCCTTCTCTGTGGCTCAGCATAGCCAGTGTTATTTCGGCCGTGTGGTAGTTCGGCTATGGAGAAAACCATCCCACTTGGTTTAAGCAGTGGGGGAGGGTGTGAAAGGATAAGCATTATCCTTAAGAGTATGAATCCTAGGAGGACTCTACATGGAGAAATACAAGTCCTACTAGGATTGTGCCATATGAAACTTATAAAAGCTCACAAGCATCACCTTGGAGGAGGTAATTGAACACAACCTTTTTGAGAACATAAAACTTTGTCTATTTGTCAAGCTTACTGACTTAGGCATCGGAGAGGTTTCCGGCACACACCCGCCGGCTAGCTCACGTTTGTGTTTTCAGGTAACAAAGCGACGTCGTACGAAGGAGCGTGAACTTGGTCAACAGGATTATACGAGGAGAATTATTTCCTCCCCGTACAATTGGCGCCGTCTGTGGGAAGAACAGACAAGAACAAAAACCTCTTGACTAAGCTTCTCCTTTTCTCAATCAATGGCACACATTGAAGAACTCCCGCAGTCCGCCGTCGACGGACTAACTCCAGAGGGGGGCGCAAGGCGTAAGGGATTACCTGCTGTCCCTCCCATGGCGGACTTGGAGCCCCAACAACATAATTCCAGGAGGAGCGGCAGGGGAAGGCGGAATGGCAGCCGCTCGTTCACTCTCAAAGTCCGACAGGCAAGGAGGAGGATTGATCCTCAAGCCCTGGAAATCGCGTAAGGAACAAGATGAACTAATTCGAAGAATGGCGGCGGACATGGAGCTTTAAACGCCAGATGAAGACTAAAGATGTGGCGACAGGAGAGGGGCGCAAGCATAAGACGCCCCCTCGCCACTCAGAAAGTCGTAGTAGGAATACTACACCCTCCTCAGGAGAGAGCAGAAGCCTCAGGACAGGCGACACTCACTCCTTCTTCTCAAGGACTCGTCACTGCCAGGTCTGAGAGGAAGAATCCGAAAGATCATACACTGAAGAAGCACGTATTGGCCTTCACATTCACACAACGCAGACCTTCCAGACAAAAGATGGTTGAAGAATCCGCACTGGCCATAACAACGGTGTTCTCAAAATACACCAATATATATCGAATGTTCTCCTGAAGGCCGAAATAATAGACGAGCCATTCATCTGAAGTTGGCCAGCCAAAGCTAGGGGAAGCTCAGATAAGAAATTACGACGACAGATCACGGTGCACCTTCCACAAAGAAAAGGGGCACCGAACTGAGAATTGCATGCCACTAAGACAGCACTTGGAAGAATTGGTGGCAGCAGGCCACTTGGACGAATACATAGAAGGAGGAGCGCAACAGGCCCCCCAAGATCATAATGACCATCCTAACAGAAAGCCAATAGACGCCCCTCCACAAGGTATCATCAATGTAATCCATGGAGTTTTTGAACCTGAGCGCGTATGCGAGCTCAGAGGTTCAATCAAGAAAGCCGAGCACTTTAGGGAAGTACTAAGCGCCCAACCCACCATCAAGAAAGGGAGGACGGAGGCAACAAACGTCATGTCCTTTTCAGATAAGGACTTGGAACGAATTTACTGCCCCCATAATGATGCCCTGGTTGTCACTCTCCGAGTCAAGGATTTTGACGTCAAGCGGATTCTGATTGACCAGGGTAGTTCATGTGAGATTATGTATTACGACACATTCAAGCAACTAAAGCTGCAAGATAAAGATTTGGCACCTGCAGTTTCTCCCCTGATTGGATTTAACTCCATACCAGAGTGGCCTGTCGGCAAAATAATCCTACCAGTCAGAGCAGGGAGTGTTACAAAACAAGTGGAGTTCTGGGTGTTAAAGGTCCCCTCCACATACAACATCATCCTGGGCAGAACATGGCTGCATGCCATGCGTTCGGTTGCATCATCATACCATCAGGTAATGAGGTTCCCTAACGACACCGGCATAATTGAAGAAGTTTATGGCGATCAAATCATGTCAAAACAATGCTTCGCCACAGTGAATGGAAACCGAGCTGCCAAAGGATACGTTCATTCGGTGAAAGAACCAGAAAGTAATGAACTATTCGCGGACGTCGGCAAAGAGGCTAATCAGAAAGCGGTGGAGGGCTTGGTGGAGGTAAAGATAGATGAGAAGAACCCGGATAAGTTCTTCTTGCTTGGTTCATCGTTATCCAGCGCTGAGAGGTTAGAGGTCTTGGAATTCTTGACCTCTAATATCGAAGTGTTTGCCTGGACGCCATACGATATGCCAGGCATTGATCCAAACTACATCAGTCACCAACTCAATGTCCACCCATCCGCCAGACCAGTCATTCAACGCACACGCAGATCGGCACTCCACCACGCCGAAATAGTGGCAGAAGAGGTAGGCAACCTGCTGGAGGCAGGAGCAATAAGGGAAGTGCACTACCTTCTGGTAATCTCCAACACCGTCGTAGTGCCAAAAAAGAATGGTAAATGGCGTGTCTACGTCGACTACAAAACAGTCAACAAGGCGTGCCCAAAAGATAGCTTTCCTCTACCAAGGATAGATCAACTGGTGGACCTAACGGCAGGGCATAACCGACTTAGCTTTCTGGATGCGTACAGAGGCTACCACCAGATCGCCATGCATGAACCAGACCAGGAGGTCACATCTTTCATAACACCAAGGGGGTTATATTGCTACAAGGTCATGCCGTTTGGCCTAAAGAACGCAGGGGCGACATTCCAAAGGATGGTCACCAAAATGTTTGAACCTTTGTTAGGCAGAACAATGGAGGCGTACATCGACGATATGGTGGTCAAAAGCAAGGATGAGAATGACCATCTGAAAGACCTCAGCGAGATGTTCCAGATCCTGAAGAAACACAAGTTGCGCCTCAATGCGTCCAAATGCGCATTCGGAGTGGGATCTGGTAAATTCTTGGGCTTCCTAGTGACCAACCGAGGTATAGAAGCAGACCCCTCTCAGATCAAAGCAATCCAGGAGTTGGAGAGACCAAACTCAGTCAAGGAAGTGCAGCATCTCACTAGTATGGCAGCTGCACTCAACCGGTTCATAAGCAGGTCATCAGACAGACTACGACCATTCTTCCAAGCTTTAAAAGCCAAGTTTGGGTGGGATGAAGAATGCGACCGAGCTTTGGAAAGCTTGAAGGAATACATGTCTTCCCCACCACTACTTGTTACTCCAGTATCTGGTGAAGAACTCTTTTTGTACCTGGCAGTTTCTCAGCATGCAGTTAGCGCAGTGTTGGTTCGTGCAGAAGGAATACAACACTTGCCTATCTTTTATGTCAGCAAGACAT